ATCCATGTTTCATTAAGAACAATAAATACTTTCAACAAATTCGCAATTTAACAAGTATTTAAAAAGCCTAGGACGACAGTTGTTGCAACATGGCGCATGCAGCTGCCACCAACTGCAAACGCTAGCAATTTCGGCACATGCTAAACGTGAGATGGTTCTGCTGAGACATAAAATGCACTTGAATGTCTTTTTTAAATTACGGTTACGCACCGACTGGGGCTAAGCTAAAGGAAGTGTTGCTAGCTGCATTGGAGGCGAAAGCGACGCAGTTACAGATTCAAAGAATTACTTAGTAGTCCTGATGGCCTAAGTAACTGCTTAGAATGAGCAGCTTCGGAATCGATCATAAAATCGCCGTTAGTGAACAAGCCATAACAACAGATCACTCATTCGAATGCAAGAGCTGCGGTACAGGTAGGTCAAATGTAAACACATGTGCGAAGGTACTGTCTTCAGTAACTGCGTCCGAAAAGCGCATAAAATTTCGGTTTTTCCTTGCACTGTGGATGGATACAGTGTGAAGCGAGCTTCTCAGTGGGCTGAAAAAATTTTCGATGAACTAGTATATATTTGTGTTATACTTCTTTCATCAAACATTTGCTGTGGAAATTCACAGAAAAGCGAACTAAGAAAATTGATAAAAAGCAGCGACACGAACAGAAAAAGATGGTAGGCGAAACTGGTATGTTTGCTTAGTTACGGGAAACATGTCTGCGGTACTTCACAGCCACTGCAGCTTAGGGAGGGATGGGAGCTCTGTGGTCGGAAAAAGTTGATTTGTGAAAAAATTTTTTCTATAAATTGTCCCGCTATGGAAGCAAGAGATGACTACGAAGATTTATTTTGCCTTACCGACGGTATTAACGACTCGACAAAGAGGTATACACACAGATCCTCTCGAGTCGTTCACTCCCCACAGTAGTATAGTAAGAAAGGACTCGTTTAAGAAATACATTCTGAAGAGGAACGGCCAAGAAAAGATTGACTGGTGGTTACCGGCTGGAGGCATGCAACTTAGGAACGAAAGGCCTGGGGTAGCTGCAGTCGGCCTGTAAAACCGTCTTAGTAACATAACTGATAGGGAAAAACCACATCGACAGAACGAGCGGTCTTCGTATTTTTGATAGTTGTCACGCCATATGTCAATCTCATATTAAGCACTACAGTACGAATGGAAGGCGTTTCCGAAGAAAAACATATGCCCAACTGAAGCACCTTAGAAGGAGTCCTGGAGAGGCATTCAAAAGCGACAAATATCTCACACCCTACCCTACCGGTGTGGTCTGCGCTTCAATGCTGTCCTCTGGAACTTTCGCCTTGACCAAACTTATCTGTCCCATTCAAATTTTTTTAAAATCAAAACTACCCATCTCAGAAAGTGAGTTCTGCCGTCTAACTCCCGTAAGCTGGCAAGTGGCAAGATTATACAAATCTGCCTTACATTTATTCAAAGAGAAGCAAAAGAAAGGCCAAAGGACGAGGGAATCAGTGCGCGTTAAACTACGACGAAAAGCACCGCAGTGTCCAAGAAAATAATGTTGAAAAATCGCCCTGCTGATTAAATGGCCACAGGTCAACTGTCCAGGTTGAAAGTGCCAAGATTAGTATGGTCTGACTTTAAATGGAGAGCACAGCTCAAATCTGAGAATCAGTGATTGTTTTTTGCCAAATACTAATTCAGATTGATGCCAAAAAAAGCAAGGAATGCATGAATATCCGAAAAACCAGTGAAGATGAACGCCAAAGTTGAGAACGAACGCTCGATAAGTCTGACAATAAGTGATAAGAATTAAAGGCAGACCTGTTTTAATGGGATGCACAATGTTTTTGCTCCCATTCCCGGAGCGCCTGGATCTGCACCCTCTTCGCTGCTGCTGTCTTTTTTGATTGCATCTTCACATTCGGGAAGTCCACAGAACGGCGCCAAAATAGAACATTTCTGTTCCAGCAATTCTTTAAACTTACCCCATTCCGCTGTTATTTTTCTACGCTCGTCACGTATCTTTTCCATACTGCAAGCAATGCTTATTCGTAACGAGTAGAGCAAAAAAAAAAAAAAAAAATAGACAGAAGCTGCTCATGGTATGACAGAAGATCAGTAAGAGCGCAAAATAAAATCTCATAAGAAATGACGTCTTCCGAACTATGTGTTTCAAAAGACAGTAAAACAATATCATTCATGATAAACTGGTTTCAGCAATTCGCTGACAAAACAGAAACGTTTTCAGCTTTTTTTGAAAGAACCCTCGAAAAATGCGAACATCAACAGCTTTTCCAGCTGGTGAATGCTGCTATGAAATGCTCTGAGTTGGGTTAATTATAACTGTTATGGCCTATCGCAAAACTAAATATGCAAAAATGCAAGAAACAGTTTCGAATTTAAGAAAACAACTTGTTTTTTATGCGCAGGAAATAACATGGGCTGAAAGGGAAGCCGACCTGGAATACATGTCGTTGTGTATTTTTTCTAGTAACTCGGAACATCTGGGTGACACACTGTCAATCGGAATGGCTAATTTCTGCCTATTGAAACGGATGACAACAGTAACCTGAAAAAAGCTGGATGCCAAAATATACGAGAAAACTAAACGTTCCAGCTAAGCGCTACTCCTGTATATTTACTGAGGGGCTGCTATGTTGTCATGCACAAATGCAGAGCATGAAACCACCATAGTCCAGGAAACACTTGAAAAGTAAGCGTGAAATACAAAAAGATTTCACTGCGAGATATGTGGCAGTTAATCCGTCTGGCGGCAGCAGGTTAAATGATGGCTTATGTTGCAAAGCTCAGAGTTTTATCACGCGTCCCTCGCTCATTTAAGTTCACAGATGCCGCTAAAGGCATTTGCACTTTCATTTCAATCATTTGCATCCGCTCGCCTCCTTGCTGAATTAATCGTCGCGTATATCAACAGCACCGCCGGAACTGTCTTAGTACCAGGTTCGAGCACGAGATGGCCCAGAACAGCACAGGGAATAATCCAAACATGGAGTAAGAAATGTAAGAGAGCAGACACCCGCAATTTTTGCGAGTGCTCAAAGCTTCGTTTAATGTAGTTTCTTTCCCCAGATGAAAATGCCATATCATTTGGTGGAGAAGCCCTATAAAATTCCCAAAACGAACAATACATTAGGACTGCACTCGATCCCCGACGAACTGCTGTACAAAACAATTTCTCTTTTCAAAGCTTATGTATGCGTGCGAATAAGTTCTGAATAAACTTCTGTAAATTACGATGAATTCAAATTTCCTAAGGAATTATTGGGAGAAGAAATCAAAACCGAACAACTATGAACTAATCTTTGCAATCTGATTAAAACCCATATCCTGTTAGAACGTCTGAAGAAACAGAGCCCACTGTGGCTCCGATGAAAACTCCTGAAAAGCCACCACTTCTCAACAGCTTCATCAAAGCTCTGCTACAGTGAGAAAAAGCATGATAATCAAGATTCTTGCATAACCGTACAAATGAAGCACGGGGAAAAGCTGGTTAGTAAAATGAGCAAGCAGAGCTGTGTCTCCATATAACATCTAAGCTTTAGATGGATAACTGCCAATCCACTCAAAGATTAGAAATAAGTTCAAATTTCCTGACAGAATTTACTCCCCTCTCAACTGTACATTCGCTTCGACTCACCTGAGATTTTGCTAGATCCATTGGTCCAATTTCAAGTCTTATTGGAACGCCTTTCAATTCCCAGTGATTGAATTTCCATCCCGGCGAATAGTTATCTCGTAGGTCGCTTTCAGCCCGGATATCCGAATTTTTTAAATTTTTAGCAATTTCCTCCGCCTTCACAGTGATTCTTTTCTTCGTTTCTTCATCCATTTGTGCTGTGATTCCAACCGGTATCACAATCACCTAAAAATATATTTTCAGCAAAAATGCTATCTGAAGCAACGCAATTCGAAGAAACCAGTACCACATCCTACCAGTAACTTAAATTCCGTGTTTAGCAACCAGCAAAAAAGGTTCAACTGCACAGCGTAGATGAGTTGTGGTAGATCACTACGAATATAAGCAGGGCAGCCAACAGCAACTATTGGAGATGAATCATGTACAGCTGGCAGCTGCTGGTTTACTAGAAACACGGCTGAAGAGGAAGATTAAGGCTGTGTTACTAGGAACATGGAGGAGTACGGATAGACTTAAGAGCCCGTAGAAGGTCTGTAAATAAACTTATGCTCCGGGAAATCATGTTGATGTTTTCTGAAAACAATTTTGTACAACGGCCAAAAAAAAAAAAAAGAAACTGCAAAAACAGCATTAAAAAGAGACTTGAAGAGGCGCAACCCGGGGTGGCAGCACCAGTCCACTGTCATCACCATGTATCATTATCATCGCACCGATTGTCCTCGTTGTCATACCCCAACTATTTTGCCAGGCAAATGATCTTTTTCCAGTTTCAGGATCTTCGAAGGAAATATTGAACATTTTGGAAAAATTCTGTCCGAGATGATGAGATGTCGCGCCCTGAAATGTCCTGCTTAGTAACACAAATTGAAAATTATTCATTGCCTTTGATTGGCATTCTCCACAATTTAGAAAATGATACATATAGTATTACCAAGACCGTCCGGACAATCGGTGTGAGCCTCCCCTGTTAATGTTCTTAGTGGCATATCTCCATACACTGGACATGCTGTGCCAGGCTCTTCGATCCTGACATCCTGTATCTCAAGATATGTTCTTAAGTAACATTATTTAAATCATCATTTCCAATCATTATGTTCAAAACGATCATACTTATAAGCTGATGTGGCGATACATCGGGATCTAGGAGTGACAACACATAACGTACACTTCAAAACAGCTAAAGCGTACTGTGCCGGAGGCCCACTCAGCTGGTAATCCCTTCAAGGAATAAAACGAAACTCAGCATCACCAACAGGTGAA